CCTTATCATGATCCACACAGTCGAAAGCCTGTGCGTAGTCAATAAAGCACAAGCATCCTCCTGGGATGCATTCAATCAAGATCCACCTGACATCAGCAATGACATCCCTCGAGCCACAGCCTCTTCTGAATCCAGCCTGAATCTTTTTTTTAGTTATAAGGGATATCATGATGTGCCAATAGTGGTAACGGGCACCCATGGTGGACAGTGTTGGCTGGAGCTTCCCGACTAAATCAAGCCTGGAAGCAGGAGCGGCATCCACTTCCTAAATGGCTTGCCTCCGGAAACTATGTACGAACAGGCTGTTCGTTCATAGGGTCGCTATGAGTCGTATACGACTCGACAGCACCAAACAACAGCAACAACATAAGGGATACTATAGCTAATGTAAGATGGATCTTGGCAGAAAGCAGAGAAGACCAGAAAAATGTCTATGTGTGCTTCACTGACTATGCAAAAGTTTTGGACTGTATGGATCACAACAAGCTATGGGCTGACTCTGAGAAGAATGGGAATCCCAGAACATTTGATCGTGCTAATGTAAAATATATACTTGGACCAGGAGGCAGTCATCAGAAGAGAGCAGGGAGACACTGGATGGTTCAAAATCAAGAAAGGGGTCCGTCAGGGATGTATTCTGTCTCCATACCTTTTCAATCTGTATGCAGAACAGATCTTCCAAGATGCTGGGCTGTACGAGGAGGAATGTGGCATCAGGATTGGTGGAAGAATCGTCAACAACCTGCGTTATGCAGATGACACAACTCTGTTCGCTGAAACTGAGGAGGACCTGAAGCGCTTGCTACAGAAGGTCAAGGACTGCAGTCTTCAAGATGGATTGAAGCTCAATTATCAAGAAAACAAAGATTCTCACCACCGGGCCAATTGGCAGCATCAGTATGGATGGTGAAGAGATTGAGATCGTTAACATTTTTAGTTTACTTGGCTCCACAGTCAACACTCTTGGTAACAGCAGCCAGGAAACCAGGAGACGAATTGCATTGGGAAAGTCAGCTGTGAGGGACCTCTCAAGAGTACTGAAGTGCCTGATCCAGGCTAAAGTCTTTGCAATTAGTTCTATGCATCAGAGAGTTGGGCAGTGAACAGGGATGACAGAAAGAGAATTGATGCCTTTGAGCTGTGGTGCTGGAGAAGAGTGTTGGATATACCATGGACTGCTAGGAGAACAAACAGGTTTGTCCTGGAGAGGGTGAAGCCAGAACGCTCCTTGGAGTCAAGGATTCTGAAGCTTCGTCTGACATACTTTGGGTGTGTTGCAAGCAGGGACTGGTCCTTGGAGAGGGACATCATGTTTGGGAGAGTGGAGGGACGGCGAAGGAGAGGAAGACCCTCGATGAGATGGATCGATTCTGTGAGTGGAGTGGTGGGAATGAATGTGTTTGAAACAGCGAGGTTGGCACAGGATAGAATGGCGTTTAGGGCTCTTGTACATAGGGTCGCTATGAGTCACAAACGACTCGATGGCACATAACAACAACAACAATTATTCTATCAGTTTATTTACAAAATTGTTTTCCAGATCAGATTCTTCCAACTTCCCTCACCCATCAAATTGTTCAACACCATGGTTAACCATCCCCCTGTCCCCACACATCCTCATCCCTCAGCTTCCACACCCCCCCTTGGGTCATTATAGTGATTCTGTAATAATAGTCTTATACAGGATTTGTCCTTGTGGGACTGAGTTAGTTCACTCAGCATAATGCTTTCCAGTCCCTCCCAAGTTAGGTAATAATTATTAAAATCATTGCTTCTGCGTGTTGCATAGTATTCCATTGTGAGAATGTACCATAATTCCTCAATCCATTTGATTGCTTTTGGACATCTGGGCTGTTTCCACGTTCTTGTGACAGTAACACTGCTATGAACACTGGTGTACAAATCTCCGTTTGTTGCTCAGCTCTCATTTTCTCAGGGTATATTCCAAGCACTGGAATAGCTGGATCACATAGAATTTCTATGTTCGGTTTTTTGAGGAAGTACCACACTGCCTTCCAGCTTGAATTTCTGGAAGCTCCCTGTCAGTGGACAGCTGCAGCTGTTTTTAATTATCATCAGCAAAATTCTATGAGTGTGATGATTAATAATGCTGTTTGGTAATTTCCATTTCTTTTACATCAGATTTCTTTGGAATGGGCACAGATACAGATTTTGGGTTTTGTCAGCTGACCATGCATGTACATTTTCTGTACATGTTACACACACAAACACGTATGCCGACCTCCAGCACACAGGGGCAAAAGCTTCCTTGTCTGCCCCTTCATTTCCTTCTCTGGATTACTTACACAGATCACACTTATCTACTTTTTCCACTATTAATTCATTAATTTAAAAGAACAAATAATATGAAGTCCTTTCCCCATCTGATTAGCATCTTTAAAAGCTATTTAAATCTTTGAATCTGGTGTCTTAGCTCCAAGAACAAAAACCAACCTAACGTGAGCTGAAGCTGCCATTCGCACTTCACAGATGTTGTGAGCAAAGCTGCACGCTCTCCGCCAAAAAGCACGCTGATGGGTAGCTCTCCAGGGGGTCCCACACCTGACACTCTTCTCCCAGGTGAGATCACTCTCTTGATGCCAGGAAAGCCCTTCTCACCTTTTAGTTCCCAGCCAGGCCAACACCCCACCACGAGGCAGACACTGAAGGTGACCTACCAAATAGTAATCAAAGAAGAAGAACACTGCGTGCGCATTAGGAACAGAAAGACGCTGGGGAGGTGAACGGACAGCACAGAGGGCAGAAGGAGGGCCCAGGAGGATGACCCCAGACTGGCCTGGTGGAGTGAAAGAAGTGACTGGAAAAGGTGATCATTGCCCCCAGTCAAGTAAGCCAGTCTCCCCTTCTGGCTTCACACGGCTTACCCTGTACTAACCAGTCCAGAAGCAAACCCCCCAGGGCATCTCCAGGTGCACTATCTAGCGACAGACAGCACTCATGTGAATGACAAACACACACACAGTGCACAGAGGAAACTCACACATGAGGGGAGAGTGTGAGATCCACAAAACCCAGATCAGTCGAAAGCAAAGCCACTTCCGCTAGTCTGTGCCATTTCACAGTGCCCCGCGGGCACTGCCCACAGGCTCGCCAAGGCTGGAAGTCTCTCCAGACGCAGAGCGCCTCACCTTTCCCCTGGGGAACTGCTGCTGGTACTGACATCTGGCCTCTGGCTCTGCAGCTGGTTTCTTTAACCACTGTTACCATTTAAAAACAAAACCCCTGCCACTCGGATTCACCAGCAGCTCCCCCAAGGCTGTAAACAACACAACGTGAGGGGAATGCCCATCTTCTCTACAGGGCAGCTAGTAGACTCAAATGACTGACTTTTCGGTGAGCAGCCCAATATGTAACTCTCCACATCACTGCTGTTGCTGCTGTGATGTACTGTAGAGTCACCTGCAACTCATAGTGACCCCATGCACAACAGTTCTGAGCTCCGCTCTATCCTGAGCCAATTTCATTGTCTTCAATATACTACCCCCATTACCCCAGTCACTGAGTCAATCCATCTCTTCCGGGTCTTCTCTCCTGTGCCGTCCCTCCACCCTTCCAAGCATGTCATCCCTCTCCAAGGACCGGCCCCTCTTAACGTGCTCATAGTATTTATGTATCAATAACCAACAGGACTGTGGCTGAAATTTCTCTGAGACACAAGAGAGTAAACAATAACAGCAAACCCCAGGGACAGACCCCTAAGCACAACCCAAGAAATAAGCGGGGGAAGGCTAAAAAAAACCCCACAACAATGGGGGCACTCTTCCCACCTCCCCGGATCAGCCCATTTTCAGCAAAGGCATCCAGGTTTCACCGGCTATCCATGCTTTTCACTTCTTCCCATATATGGCTTCCGTTTAATCTGTATGTCCCAAATCATTTCAATATGGATAACGTAACTGTACACACACAAGGTCCCCCCCTTTTAAACAACATGACTGTAAAATGCTTGCAGCCCCTGAACCCCCGACACGGCAGAGCCCCAAGCCAAGTGGCCAGAGAGCTCCGTCCTCGGGGAATGGTTACGGTGTGCAGGATGAGCGTGTTACGGGGAGCACACGTGTTAGAGGGAGCGTGGAGGAGCTACGGAGCTACTGCTAAGAGGGCATCTAAGAGACGAAACAGGGTGGGATGTTCTGGGAACTCGAAAGTAAGATGGAAAGAGAAAATGAAACAGAACAGGACGATGACACAGAGCGAGGAGGGACGGGAACGCTACAGTACAAAGTTGTGCCTTCTCGCTCTTCCAAACAAGACAAGCGCTGCCATGAAGAAAGGTATAGTTACCTGCATCCATGTCTGCAAAGAATGGAACAGCCAGTGAGAGAGAGAAGGAACCAGAAATTCAGTGTCTCAGAGTTGGATTGGCAAAAGTTACATGGAGAGAAAATAAAATTTAGAAATCTGCTTGGAGTCCTAACTCGATGGGGGGACATGGTACATGGGCAACTAAGTGGTCTCTTACTGTGACAGCCTTAATCTGACTTCACGCCCCAGAAATAAAGTATGGATATGTTAACTGAAGAAGAAACGGTCTAATGGTAAAAGAAACATCTTCTTCACATGCAGAAATGGTTTCCAAATGTTCATAGTAATTATATACGAAGGGGGACATACTCAAAACGTATGGTGAGGGTAGCCTGCAAATCGAGAAGCATCTGTGATTGCGTGAACATTGGGCAGAGTTACACGGAAATGCAATGTCCAGATCAGAGAGATGTCCGATGCTTCCAGGGGCTACCCTGGGTCAACGGGGGTCAGGCCACAAGATAAGAAGCATTTCACAGTTCTACTCAACTGAGCCAAATGCCAAAGCCAAGTGCTTTGCTAAAAATACTACAAAGAAGCAATAGACTTGAGGACTTTTATGGCTCTGAGCATTTTATGACTTCCTCAGAAGCTGCCATATCAAAGCAATGGTTTGGAATATGCTAAAGATGTTTTTAGTCTTAAAGCTGCAGCGTGCGGGCCACAGGGCGTACCTTCGGGAGATTCCTCCTGGACGTAGGTGCCCGTCAGGTATCTGTGCACTAGGGCCGACTTGCCGCTGGCCAAGTTACCCACAATTCCCTGAAACAAAGGAATGGACAGTCGATTAGTACATTATCACGAACCACTCCAACCAGCCACCTGCAAATGAAAGGATGAAAGACGCCTGCTGTCGTCTGTTGTGGTTCAGTGGATTCCAACTCAGAGAGTCCACGAGTTAGTGTGGAGCTGTGTCCACGGGGCCATCCACGGTTGCTTGCTTGCTGCTGAAATGGATCGCCAGGCCTCCGTTCTGAGGTACCTCTGGGGAGACTCAACTTCTGGCTACTGATCGGGTCTGTCTGCACTACTTTAAACTGCTGATCTCACCTTCACTGAGCTGATTCTGAACCCTGGTTAAACCCCAGAGGCTTCTTAGCCTGTAAACGCTACGGGTCTGTGAAGGAGAAGGCTCTCAGTGAGATGGACCTACAGGGTGACCACGTCCCTGGGCTTGGGCGTGAAGAAGGTGCAGGACAGAGCGAGGTTTGAATCTGCTCTTCACAGGGTCAACCTGAGGGCACCTAACAGCAAACCTTACAGGGGGTACTCTGCCTTATCTTTCTCCCTGGCGGCAGTTAGTGGGTTTGAACTGCCAATCGCCATATTATCAGCCTCGCATGAACCCTGAAATACAGAGCACCTCCAAGCACGCGCTGGATGGCTTTGTCCGAGTCACTGAACGCTGCCAGCAGAGTCAAAGGAGTCCCACAGCCACACAGCTCAAGCCCCCAGCGTGCCCAGCCGCCGTGCGGTCTGCACCGTCACACACAGAGGCTGTGGCGTTCCTGCAGCGACATGGATGCTTGGACACACCTGCAGAGGGTGCACTGAATCAGTCACCCTCACTGGGCATCTCAGGAGACTGAGCAATAAACGGTGTACAGGACAGAGGGACGCCCAGCACTGCCCGTGGTCCATGTCCTCAGGGGCTAGCTGAAAGACTGGGGGGCCAAGTCCACCCACAGACCCTCTGGAAGGATGGCCAGGTGACCCGCTACCCAAATTCCTTCCATTAAACCCTCAGAGTTCCCAAGATCACAACTTAAGACATCCCTGGAGCTCACTCCTCAGGTAAACAATCAGTGAGTAAGTCAGGGTTGTCTCGATGGAACCATCTCCTAGCTGACCCCCCAGTGGCTTTGGGGGGACTTAAGTCACACAGGAGGCCACTGCCCATCTTTCTCCCTCAGAGCAGCTGGTAGATTCGACTCCCCTGCCTTTGAGTTGTGAGTGCAACTCCTTACCCGCTAGACCATCAGAGCTCCCAAGCAGGCAAACAATAGACAGATATAGAAGGTGCTCAATGACAGCAGGGAGGGTCATGCTCCACAGAATCACAGGAAATCAAAAGGCAACATCGGCCCAGAGATAAAGACGAGCACCAATGAGGAAGGGGGTGGGGAGGATGAATGAAAACAGGAAGCACTGAGAGGAGGATAGTCAAGTGCTGCTACACGCAGGGACTGCACTCAATGCCATGATCAAAAGGTGGGTGAACTGTTGAACAGAAAACCAATGCGCTCCATAAACTCTGAAACAAAGATTTGAGAACAAAAATCTTCTGGAGCAATTTTACTCTGACCTACACGGGCTGCTAGGGCTCAAAAGACTCAGAGCAGCTGGGGTTTTATGTGTTTGTAAGCACCACGCGGGTGTGTGCAAGGCGCTCCAGGGCGTGCCGTCATGAGAAGAGCAAGCTGGGGGCAGATCCTGGTGCCAAACAGACGCTGTGTTCTCCAGACACACACCCTGAAACAATTCCAGGGTCGCCTACCTCACACACACATCCTCATTCATTCATTCTCTCCTTTCTCCCTTTCCCTCTTTCTCTCTCTCTCTCTCTCTGTCTCTCTCTGTGGTCAGCCTTCAGCTCTAAGAGCACTTCCTCCAAGAAGCCCTCCTGGTATTCAGAGTCTCAAGAACATGTCTTCCCTCAATGACTCATCCCTTCACACCCTGTCTAGGTCTGCTGACTTGTCATTTTATTTTACAAACACAAATCAACACACAGCTCTCTCCTCAAAAGGGCCAATTTCAAGCAGGGCAAGGACTGTGACTTATTGATCTCAGATGTCTGGGTCTCAGAGCAGCCCTCAGACCCCAGTAAACAGACAGGATGGGTGGGTGGGTGGATGGATGGATGGAGGCTTCCAATGCTAACGAGTATTAATGAGATGCTTTATTACTTCTGTTCAAAGCTAGGATCTGTGGGCAACTCCCCAACAAAGCTGCCTTACTCCTGTCTCCGTTACCTAAAGCATCCACCACCTGAGAGCGTCTAGGATTCATTATTATTTAGCTCAAGGGCACCTTAGTGTCTGTCAGCTTCATGCTGTGAAAAACCCAAACAGCAGGCCGCAGAATTAAATTTTTAATTAAGATGAGCGGGTATTTCCTGAGGACAAAAATGCTCAAACGAGTCATTCTTCAGTCCATGTGTCCCCAGTGACGAGCAAAGATGCTCCCTCTGCAGGGAAACAGCCGTGGGAGGCCCAGGCTGGACCTCGAGATTCGGGCTCCCTGCCCATGGCGGTGGAGCAGCGAGGAAGCACAGACTCCTGTCCCAAGGACGGGGGCCATGGGTTCATCTGAAGCACGGCAGGAAGTGATGCATGAGTGTGAGGAGGCAATGAAAGGCTCACTGGGAATGCACTTCCAGCTGGGATGCTGCACTGGACCCCAGGAACTGCTTCCGTGTGATCCGGACAGCAGACACAGGCACAGAGGAGACAGTACAGGCAGCGGGGCTCTGAAAAGGCCGAGAGTTCCACACTGCAGGCAGCAGGGGGCAGCATCGTCGTCCTGGGCTGGAAAAAGTTCTCACACTGGCTGCAAACCCAAAGACCGGAGGTTCGAGTTCACCGAGAGGCGTTGCCGAAGAAAGGCCTGGTGATCTGTCTTCAGTTGGCCCCTGGAAACCCTGATGAGCACAATCCCACGGCACTGAGGAAGATGACAGGAATCAAAGCGGACTCAGCACAACTGGCTGGGGTGGGGCAGTGTGGAAGGGGAAGGAGGTGGAGGACAGCAGTAGTGGGATCAGGAAGCGGCGGAGTGGGGGGCAGGCACAGTACCAGGGAAGGAAGACCAGAATGGAAAAGCAGGAAGAGGAGGGGGTAGGAATGGAGCCAGAAGAGGGGGAGGGAAGCAGCAGGAGGAAGGAGGGAAGGAGGAAAGCTGGAGCAGGAGCCGAGGACGAGAACCACGGAGTGCAGCGGCAGGAGAGACTCTGTAGCAGGGCGGTGGCAGCAGCCTACGGCCGGCCGTCGTGTATAAGGGGAGTATTGGTGGTGTGGTATTAGGAGGAAGAGAGGTGCAGGAGGAGGATGCTAGGTGTCGGAGCAGCAGTACAGCAGGAACAACTAGAGCACAGCAGCAGGAGTATCAGTACCACAGAATAGGAGGAGGAGTGACCCCGCCGGAGAAACACAGCTGTAGCAGTAACAGTAGTAACAGTAGTAACAGTAGTAACGGTAGTAACAGTAGCAACAGTAGTAACAGTAGTGGTGGTGGTCGTACGGGGGGTGAGGAGTAAAGGCGTGTAAGTCGTGGAGCAGGAGTACTGTAGTGACAGTGCTGTGGTAGAGACAGACGGGACCGTGGTCCTAGGAAGAAGAGCACACTCAGAATAGTAGTGTTGTGTTAATTGGCATTACAAACAGTCATCCCACAGAAGCCGCACAGAGAATCTGCAGTCGCTGTGTGTTTTATAGCAGTAATGATGTAGTGAGACGAGGGGAGAACCTCGTGGCAAGAAACTGCACTGCAATCCCAGAGGTGCATGGTTCGGATCCACCAGATGCTCTGCTGGAGAAGGAGGGACAATCTCCTCCTGTACCAGTCAGATCTGATTTGATGGTTCACACACACAAAACAAAAAATAAAGTATAAAAAAGAAGAAGAGGGGAGGGAGAGTACGGCGGGCACGCTCGGCAGGGAGTAGGAGCAGCGTGGTCAGGAGGAGGAGGCAGGATCGCAGCAGCAACACTGAGGCCTTAGCAGGAAGGAGGGTGGGGGTGGTCCGGAGGGCCAGCACTGCGGAGTGGACGAGGGAGTGTGGTGGGGGGGGTGCTAGGAGGAGGGTCAAGAGTGAAGCAGGGATGGTGCTGGAGTATCGCAGCAGGGCCTCTGCCTCGGAGTACCGCTCGGGCAGAAGACAGGGGAGGGGGGCAGGAGAAGCAGGGGGACATGGGACTATGCAGTCTTATACGATGCTATTATACCCCCCCCACACACACAGCTGACCCTCCAGCGGGTTCTCAGAGGCAGGAAACCACATGGGAAGGAACTGCCCATCCTTTTCCCGTGAAGAGGCTGGTGGATTGGATCCGCTGTACTTTTGGTATTGCAGCACGGCTTCTTAACCACTAGCCTACAAGAGCTCAGGGAGGGGACATGTGTGGGAGAACTTGGAAGATGTGGTAGGAACAGTAGTGACAGTACTAGTACTACAGGCAGAGGAGGCGTGCAGGGAGAGGGGAATGGGGTAGAAATGGGAGGTGGTGTATGGTGGGAACAGTAGCTGTAGTGGTGGTAGGACTGTGACTGGAGGAGGAGGAAGGAGGTGTGGTGGTGCTGGTCTGGAGGAGCGAGTGTGGTAGGGCCAGGAGCGGAGATTATCCCGGTGATGCAGGGAGGCCGCGGAGGGTTGTACCTGTGATACAGGAAGGAACAGCCATACAGCAGCAGAGCTGGGGGAGGAGGCAGAGGAGAAATAGGAGTGAGCGTGGAGTAGGAACAGGGGAGCTCTGCTGGCCTGGTGGCAAAAAGCCGTGCAGCAAACCCAAAGGCCTTCAGTTCAAATCCACCAGCCGCTTCATGGAGAAGGAGGGGCAATCTCCTCCTGTGCGATGAGCTGCCTCTGAAAACCCCCAGAGAGTCAGCTATGGGTCGGTTCACAACAAGAACAGTAGAAACAGTCGTAGTGGTGACAGTGGTGGGCGCAGCACTAGTACTCTGGTCGCTGGAGCACAGGAGGCGGCAGCGGCATGAAGTATGAACAGTGCCAGCACTGGCATGACAGCGGGGTAGGAGGAGTGCGGTCCCACAGCTGGCTACAAGGACACAGAGTAGGGCAGTACCAGAGGGGGTTGAGCAGCAGAGCTGCAGGACGGGAGCTGTGGTGCCAGTGTGACACCAGGAGGG